ACTGCTGACCCAGGAGAAGCCACTGGCCCGGCGACTGCTGACCCAGGAGAAGCCACTGGCCCGGCGACTGCTGACCCAGGAGAAGCCACTGGGAAACTGCCACGCTAGGGACATAGCTTCAGGGCCTCCCTGTGGCGCGGGGGCTCACGTCTCTGCTCTGTCAAGCTGTCCCCAGCCACTGCACTGCAAGTTCGATCCCTGGCCCTGGGGTGACCCACACGGCACCCCAACCTCTCCCCGCAGCTCCCTCAGCCATGTGTTTCAGTGGATCCACCTGTCCTGCTCCCCACTCTGTCTCTGGGGAGTCCTCATACCCCCACACTTCCTTACCCCAGTTCTTGTGTGCATAAATACATAAAATAAATCTTAAAAAATTCAGAATACAACTTTACACAGAATGGCCCGAAACTCAGCAGCAAAAAGGCCCCTCAGCGGGTGAAGGATGAGGAGACTGGCCACCCAGAATGTTAAAAAATGTTACAAGAAACAAGGTAGCGAACCAGAAAGAGACAAGAAACAAACTTAACGGCAGCACCGCTGAGGGGAGGCTGCTGGGGGCCCCCCACCCCCGGCCTCTGCAGGGGACCCCGTGGGGACCCGCACAGGGCTGTGTGGGCGCGTCCCAGGCTGAGGCACCCCGGCGCCTGCCTGAACCCCGTGTGTCACTCAGGGTCACGTGTGACCACGTGGTTTAGTCTAGTCACAGCTTCAATGTCAGCTACCAACCCAAACGCTGGTTCCACCTCACTCTGGCTTTCGCAGCCACACTGGCTCCACGGCCTTCGCGGCGGGGAGGGCTGTGCACACCGCCTGCCTCTCCGTTTCGAGGACTCCTTCCCGATAAACAAGCTGCTGCGTTCAAGGGGCCTGGGGGTGGGGGAGCCCTGTTTCCGCTGCCTGTGTCCAGGGCGGGACTGGAGGTGGGCCTGGGGGGACGGGCCCTGCCCCCCGGCTTCTGGGGTCTCTGCTGACTTCCCAGTGACCGCGGAGCCCAGGGCAGCGAGGGGTCATCAGGCAGCTTCAGGGACAGGGCAGCGGGGTGTTCTAAAGGCTTCTGAGTAGGACTGAGAACCCAGGGGGGACTGACAGGGGGGCGCGGGGA